TCGATTTTTCCTTACTGACCATCTCCCCTGAAGCAAAGCAGAAACGGTTCAGGGAATCAAGAATGACATCAGCATGATGAGGGCTTGCCTCAGCAAACAGAACAAGATCATCTGCAAAAAAGAGGTGTGAAAGGGCTGGCCCCCCTGGAGAAAGTCTACAAGGTTTCCAATTCCCTTTCATCACCTCTTTCTGAATACAATGACTAAGTCTCTCCATACAAAGTGTAAACAGGTAAGGGGAGAGGGGACATCCCTGTCTTAAACCACGTGAGGGTTTGAAGCTCTCAGTCTCACTCCCATTCCACAGAACCTGGAAACTGGTGGTTGAAACACATTTCATGATCATGGAAATGAAACTGTTAGGGAGTCTAGCAGCTTTGAGGGTATCTTCCAAAAAATCCCATTCCAGCCTGTCATATGCTTTGGCCAGGTCAATTTTCAGGAGCATGAGACCCTTCTTTCCAGTCCTCCTAGCCATGGAATGAACTGTTTCCTGTAGGATGATGATATTGTCAGTAATGTGTCTGTTTGGGATGAAGCTAGACTGGTTTTTCTGGACAAGGATAGGCATAAGGGGTTTCAGTTTGTTTGCAAGGATCTTAGCCACCACCTTATAACTAACATTGCACAGACTGATGGGTCTAAATTGACTCATATTAGAGGGGCTTTCAACTTTTGGAATCAGGGCAAGAAGGGTTTCATTCATATCTTGAATTCTAGCTGGGTTAAGAAAGCAAGACAAGATGAATAAGAAGAAGTCATTTCCAATAGAACTCCAGCATTTCTGAAAGAAGATGGCTTGGAAGCCATCTTTTCCAGGTGCTTTGAGTCCACTCATGTCCATGATCACAGACTTAACAGTCTCTTTATTAGGTTTATCACCTAATCTTCTAAGCAAATCATCACAAATCTCAGGAAAATCAGCAGGCACACCATGGATATCCCTAGCTAGATTCGAAGTGAAAAGGTTGAGAAAATACTCCCTGGCCAGCTTATGGAGCTCAGTTTCATCATCAATCCATTTTCCTTGATCATCCTTAAGGTAGCTGATTCTATTCCTTTTCCTTCTGCTGATTGTACTGTTGTGGAAGTAACGTGTGTTCATATCACCTCTAACCACCCAGTTAGTTCTGGACTTCTGGATCCAAAGCATTTCTTCCTGCCAGAGGGTTTTCTCCAGTTCCTCTCTTGTGCTTTGTTCCTTCTCCAATGAACTAGTGGTAGGCCTTCTTCCATTCAACATTTCCAGAGAGTTGAGTTCATGGAGGAGCTGTTTCTTCCTCTTGAAAATGTTCCCATACACTTCTTTATTCCATGTCATCAGTTCTTCCTTGAATTTCTGCAAAGAGACAGGAAACTCACAGCCAGCAGTCCAGGAGGAGGAGAGGAAAGGGAAAAAGTTCTCATGGGCAAGCCAAGAAGCCAGAAACTGAAACCTTCTCACCTGGTTCTGGTTTCTTTTTTCATCCATAGTGTTGGTGAGGATAGGTCTGTGATCTGATTTGATCTTAGGGAGATGGAACACTGTTGTTTTGGGGAATTTCTGCTGCCATTCAGTGTTGCATAGGCTCCTATCCAATCTTTCCTTCAACCTAGAGGCTTTAGTGAACCAGGTAAAGTTGGGTCCAGTGTAGCCAAGATCCAACAGTTTGCAATCCTCAATGCAGTTGTTGAATGCTCTAGTCTTTGCAAAGTTGAAAGCAGCACCTCCTTGTTTTTCCCATGATCGAGAAATAGAGTTAAAATCTCCTGTAAGGAGCCAAGGAAGGTTAGAACTACTCTCAAAGATCCTAAGCCTATCCCATAGATCAACTCTATCATGGTCATTAGGGCTGGCATACACAGCAGTAAAACAAAAACTAGGCTTTCCATCAGTGAAACATTTCATGTGGATAAATTGCTTATGTTTATCAAGAAGTTCAAGTTCCAAGTTACTCTCATTCCAGAGGATCCAGATCCCCCCACTAAAACCAGTAGCATCAGAAACCTTCCATGAATCAAATCCTAGTGATTTGATCACACTAATGGCTTCTTCTCCACTAATCCTAGGTTCTAAAATGCAAACAATATCAGGTTTGTGATTATCTTTATACAACTTAAAAGTAGGCAGAAATTTGGGGTGCTTTGCACCCCTGCAATTCCAAGAGAAGACTTTAACCATAAGAGTGGATAAAAGAAAACTTCCCTGGATGACTATCAATCAAAGGTCTTCAATTTTCCACGGCCATAGCCGTTCCCTTCTCTTCAACAGAGCTGTTTTGTTCTGCTGCAGTGAAAGGTTGTACATTTTCAGGTGCTTTTGCATCATTCTCCAGGTTGTTGCTATAGACAATCTTCCTGGGAATTCCACTCCCACTTTCTTGGGCAGTCTCCATTCTCTTTCCAGTTTCCTTAAGTCCCTTCCCTGGTGATGGATCCTTCATTTTGGGCTGGTGGCCTGATTTAGCATCCTCCATGAGTTTTTTGTCGCTTGCCTGTCTACTACTCTTGGAATTTGAGGATGTTTCCTTACTCTTCTTCCCTGGTGTTGTCTTTGAAGTAGCAGGTGCTTTTTCTCCTCCCATCTGGTGCTGTCCTTCCTTTTTCATGTTTGAAGTTGCAGGCATGTTCTTCTTGATTGTCTCCACTGTTTTTGCTTTCTGTTTGATGGTTTCTGGTGAGATTTTCTGGTTTTCCTTCCTTTCATGTAGTTTCTGTTCCTTGGTTTTCTCTTGTACTTTCCCTGTTCCTTGATTCTCCTTGCTTTTCCCTTTCTTCTCATTACGGCTTACCTCCTTCGAGCCAGTAGGATCAATCTTCAAAGCCCCTTCTTCCTTGGATTGACTTTGCTCAACTTCTTCCCTGGTAGTACCATCTCCATCTTCCTCTTCCTCCACATTTTCCCCTTCCATTTGCTCACTCAAGACATTGAATCTGGAGCCTTTGTTATCCTTCTTAAGGGAGTCCCCTGCTTCTTTTGGCGATGCATTCTGGTTTCTGTTTTGCTGTTGTGGTTTAGCTCTCTTAGTTCTTGTTGCTAACATCCATGGGCCATAATCTTCCATGATTTCCGGCCTAACCTCCTGTGATACGCTTGAGTTGATGTTAACCTTGAGTCTGTCCTCAGGAGTTAGTGAGCTCTCTTGATTTTTCAGTGGACACTTATCCTCCAGGTGTCCATAGAAGCCACAGTCGAAGCACACGGTATGAAGCCCTTCATATTCAATCCTCCTGACACGCCTCTTGATTCTGTATTTCGAAACCAATCTCTTCCTTAAATCCACTTCAACACATAATCGAGCGTAGTTTCCTCTAAATCCATTTGCCGTGTTGTAGTCAATCTTCTCCACACGACCCAATTTGTTTCCAATATCCATGAGGATCTCTTCGTCGAAGTAAGCCAAAGGAAGACGGGGCAGTCTGATCCAGACTGAGGTCTTGTCAATGGAATCGAAATCTGGATCAAAATCCAGCCTCCATGGCTCCGACACAATGTAGTGATCGTCGATGGTCCACGGTCCACCGTAGAGTGCTCGATCGTGGTCAAGCTGTGTATCAAAGATGGCTTGGCAGTAGCCATTTCCGATATCCCCAACTTTCACCTGTCCAGTTTTTGCCCACATTTTCTGTACTCTTCTCTGAGTGTAAGCAAAGGGGAAATTCTTACCAAGGACTCTGAAGGTGATTGCCCTGTTCCACCTCCTCTGGATTCTCGAATTAGTACGCTTCTTGATCCGAATGGTTGGACAATCTGGGTCATCTTCTCCGTCCTCCTTTTCCGACTCATCGGACATCAGATCATCTCCTTCAAATTCCTCTGACATGGTTCCATTTCCGAGGACTGAATCCTTATACGAGACCTTGGCTCCCGTCTGCTCGGCTCCCAGTGAGTCCATATTTTCGTCTTCAACAGTCTGTTTCTCCGAGGAGGCCATCTCTGCATCTGGTTCCCTAGCTGTAATCACCGCATAATCCATCTCACCCTGGCCTGAGAACTCCTCGCTTGCGCAGGCCTTAGCTTTCTTGCTGGGTTGGACCGGGGAGTTCGCCGGAGATCCGTCCGGTGGCTTGAGGCGGTCGTCCGCCTCCATCGCTGCTGTTTTCAACGGGCAGAAACGGTAACAAGAGAAGGGGAAAAGGAGGAGAGAGGGGAGAGCTTTTCTCTCTCTATTCTCTCTCTTAATTTCGGCCCTGCTTCCTTTTCTTCCATGTGCATTTCTTTTGTTCTTTCATCTAGAAAGGAAACGGACGAAAATAAGCATATGCATTGCTTTGTAAGGGCATGAATCCCAAGCCTGATCCATGGAGGAATGGGCTGGATTTATCTGGGTCAGACTGCATCTTGGGCCGCATAGAGATGTCCAGCCCAGTTTTTTAGATACATATTTGGATCAGGATCACTAATATCTTCAGAAACAAAAAGAAGTGGATACTGGCTCAACTTATTTTATTGGCAAAACACAATTATATAGTCATGACTTTCATGTTTGTGACAAATATAGTCATAATTATCTGAAAACACAAAATAGCTAAGAAATTGGATGGTCGTATGACAAATCTAGTCATTTCCGTTAGAAACTTTAACGATGTTATAGATGCCGTTAACATTATAACAACAAGTTCATTAAAAAAAAAACAGTATGACAATATGAAATGTGATGTATGGAAAATGACAAATTTTTTTTTTTGTAATCTACATTTTTAGACACATATTTGGTTGTCTTGTGACGAGGCATCTGAATACTTTTATCATAGCCTACACGATTTGGTATTAGGAGAGTGTAGCGTTCCAAAATTTGTTTATAGAGAAGATGAAGCAGGAAAGGAATAATAACTCAAACGCAAACATTAGTAACTCAGGGCACGCTCAACATGTATCTTGGATCCCCCTCCAAAAACACCGAATTCTGGGTTCGGTAGCCCTCTTTAATTCTCAAGCATAGGAAACGAGATAAAAAATGTACGGATGGGGGATCACTAGTTCCCTATCCACAAAGTAAAGCTGCTAATTAACTGCGGGGAATCAACGGTGATTTCTTTCTGCTGCTGCTTCCAACAGCAGAGGTAGCAGAAGAAGGAGCTGTTCTAGAGAGAAGAGAAACAATGGAGTGAACAGCGGCAGCTGCAATCCTCAGCTTGATCTGCCCTCTCCTTCTCGGCAATCTCCTCATCGTCGCAGCGGCGCCTCCTAAAGCTGCAACAGCAACACGGCTGGAATTCTTGTTCATCATCTCAATCTTCTTTACTGTAATGAAGCAGGGGGAAAAAGGAAAGAAAAGTGTGTTTGATTGAACAATTCCTTAAATTTCTGCTACTGTTGTCGTTACAATGTTGGTTGTTTGTTTTAAGCCCTACCCATATGCTGATTTCGATTGTTTGTATATATACAGAGAGAAAGATGGGTGGGGGAAAGACAGAGCAGCCGCTTAATGGGAAAGGAAGGAAGAAAGGAACACATGGGCTGGGGCTGATGTTCTGAATTTGGATTTTGGTTTCGAGTGGCTACAGGTTGGTTGGGGCACATTGCCAGCTCTTGGTTACCGTCCAATGTTCTGTTGTTTTCTGCTAAATGTTGCAGACAAGTTGATTTGGTCTTGTTGGTGGGTTAATCATTGTGTTACCATTGTCGTTTGATTTGGACTCCAAGTAATGATTGTGTTTGTCTAGTGTGTACACGTGAAGTTAGTCTCTGCTAATTAAACATGCTAATCTGATTTCATGATCTATCTAGGAAATTTCGTTTCTGGGATTATTGTATAGTACATGTTTGTGATTGTTTCTGGTATTGAGAGATTCTTAATGAGTTGATTGACAGATCAAAATGATTTGGTGGCTGGTTTAATGGATTGCAAGAAATCTGTTGATTTGTCATCTTGTGGGTCTTAAGATGGGGTGTCTGTTACCATTATTGTTGTGATTGTGCTGATTAGCTGTTAATTACTTGTTAATGATATAGAAACTGTTTGATCTGTCTGCCTGCCTCCATTAGAAGAAACCAGAAACCAGCCTCCAAAGACAGCACCTAAGGGAGGGAAAAGATGGTGATGACTTTTTTGGTTTTGCCGCATCACATGCATGAAGAATATCAAATCAGTGAATGGTTTTCATGGTCCATGCCATGAATGTTAAAATCAGCAATTTGTTGGCTTTATTAGTCTTCATCCGTTCCTCCCATCCAATACTCAATTCACTCGAGTTATTCCTGTAGATTTATCCATTAATTTCAGTGTTGTTTTTCTCAGTGGGAACTGTTAGCTCTAACAATTCCAAGTAGAGGAGGTCCAACTGTGTAAGCTGTTGCCACTACTGAAGCAAAAGACTATTTAGATTAAGCTGAATACTGAAAATTACAAGTTGTTCAACTGCTACTTTGGCGGTACAATTAGGTATGTATTTGATCGTATTTAGATTCAAATAGTTTCAACTCGTCTCATTCATTTATGATTTGTCACTTCATATACATTAGAATAATCGATCATTAGGTATACACTGAAATATGCAATGAATTTTGTCATTGTTCAAGTGGTGGTCTTGGCTAGCTTCGCCACCAAATCAACCTCAATTAACCGAGAAGAGAACCACTAGAAGTAGCATTTTTTAAACCAGAACATGTTTAGCATGGTCCATAACTGGTCTTTTTTCCATTGCATATGTGATTTGTGGCTTCCATAACACTACCACATGCCTGTATTAGCAGTCAGGAAGAGATTGTATTGGACGACTAGAAGCTTGTGATCGAGAGACAATGTAGATGGATTTCCAAAGTCAATAAATTGTTAAGTGATGAATCATAATTGGTTGTGACTTGTGTCTGATTCTGATAACCACATATTGCATTATTGCTTCCCCTGTTTGCTACCTTTTTTCTGAATAGGAAAGGTTCCTATGAATGAAGATTTACTGAAGCAAAGAACCAGAAGTGATTCCATTGAAGGTGTATTAATTTGGTTGACAAATACACCTTCATGAGTGTTTGTAACTTGAAGTGTTGGAGGGGATTATATTGGTCTCAAAGAGCCTAAGATGCATACGTATCTAGGAAGAGGCAAGGTTCATCGTTGAGCTCAAATTGGTCATATAATTACTCAGAGCGTGCTCAAATATGTATCTTGGAAGTTGGAACCCGCTTGAGAATTAGTAACCAATCAGGAAAACTATTACGAACCCAATTGCAACGAAATCGAAACAGGAACTGGGTCGGTTCCTTCTAAGTACATAGCCAACGAAAACCAAAAGAATTTACAGATGGGAATCGGCGTACAAAAAAGATGCTAACTTTAAGGAATCAATGGTGATTATTTCCGCTGCTGCTGTGGTGAGCAACAGCAGAGGAGGCAGAGGATGAAGTTCTAGAAAGAAGAGAAACAATGGAGTGAATAGCAGCAGCTGCAATCCTCAACTTGATCTGGCCTCTCCTCCTGGGCAGCCTGGATGCCACACCTCCAAAAGCTGCAGCAGCACGGCTAGCATTCTTGTTCATCATTTTCTTTGCAGTAATCAAATCGAGAAAACGAAAGAAAAAAGTATGTCTGATTTGAGCACTTTCCTTAGCAAACTTCTTGCTGCTATTGACTGATGCTGTTGTAGTGTGTGTTATTGTATGAGGCACTAGCCATCTGCTGAATGGTATATATATATAGGGAGAAGCAAACCATGGGCTGATGATCCAATTGAGTTGTTTTCGTAGCAAGTTTTTGGGGATGGTGGAAAGTCAATGGGAAGGTCTGCAAGTGGGCTAGAGGTTGGGGCACATTGCCAGCCTTGCTCTGCCTTTCGGCCACATTTCTTTTTGGGTTTCTGCTAAAGGTTTCAGACAAATTGATATGCTGTTGTTGGTGGGTTTAATCTAATGTATATCATTGAATTGTTATTGTTTCTGAACTCCAATAATTGTGTTTGTGTAGTGTATCATATGTATGCGTGTACAGTTTACACGTGCAGTCCTTCCTACTGGGGATGATCTATCTAGGAAAGTTCGTTTCTGGATCATATTATAAGAGTGTTGAGATTCTGGGTTTTATGGTTGGTATTTGACAGAGCAAAATGTTGCAGCTGGGCAAGACCATCATGTCCATCGTTTTCAACTTTCCTGACTGGTAGGTCTGGTATCTGCTTTTGATTGATTGATTGATTCCACCTCTTGATTTTGACAGACAAAGGTGGTTAAAAAATTTTGTTTTGTCCTTCCAATTTGTACAACTTTCAGGAAACAAAACAAGGAATTCCTAATCCAAACCAAAGAACTGGAATTCGTTGAATCAACAGTACTTTATATTTGTATATTTGTTATATTGTCTTTATATGATTTGAGGTTTGCGTCAGTACAACATTTCATGACGCTTGTTAATAATTTAGCAAAGAGAGAGAAAAAAAAAGAAATTGTACTTGCTTCTGATTAAGTCAAAGATTACCGCAAGAGACTCATTTAACCTAGTTGTACTACTAAGATAGACCTCATGAAGTCCTTTGTTTTATTAGACTGGGGGTTTTGGTTAATTGCACGAGGCGGATTGGCTAGTGAAACACTAGAGTCGTACAAGTGACATTGCGAGGATTGGTAAATTGGTATGGAGCATAGTAGTGAGAAAAGTGTGGTGCCAAAGATGTGGACATATGTTTGGCAATGTTGTTGTTTCTCTAGATATGTTTAAATGTGCAACCCTCGATCATGTGTTGGTAGCAACCCCTAGTAGTGGGCTGGGTTGCTAGTATCAGACCATTATTATTATTAATATTATGTTAGGGATTCAACTTGTTCGGTTAGTAATTAGTGTTGGATAGGGCCTAGTACGTAGTCCGCAGGGAGTTGGGCTTCTCAAGGGCGGCGGGTTAGGGGTAGGGGCCGAGTGGCCTAATTGGGTATTAGGGTTTCTACTCTATAGATATGAATGTTCGGTGTTAGTACCGTTTATCGAATTAATAAGAAAATGATCTTTCGACGCCAAGTCGTTCTCTCGCTTGTGAGTTTACAAGCAAACCCTAACCCGATAGCAACAAGCTGCTATCATGTGTTTAGTTGTGAGTGATATTGAGTTGCAATTAAGTCTTGCTAAGTTAGAGTTCGGATGGTGATAGATATTGATATGTTTTTCATTTGTTGTTGATAGTTGAGTTGAGCTGTTTAGTTTTGTTTTGCTTGTACCCCTGTTTGATGGTTTATAAACTCTGACAAATGTGGCATTTGTTTGGCTAACCTAGGGCTTAATGAAAATTATGATTTTATCGACATATTATTATTGTTTGGCCAATTATTATGGTTCAATTACTAACACTATCGACATATTATTATTGTTTGTTTAGAGAATAGGTAACAAATGTTTGTTAAATAAAAATAAACATCTCTTAGTGGCTTCCCCTTTCCCTTGATTCAAGGGATTGCAAAATCAGCTAGTTTGTCATTAGTGGTCTTAAGATGGGTTTTTATTGTTTTGATTAGCTGTTAATTATATGTGTAGACCCTGCCCCTTTGATTTTGTCTGCCTGCCTCCATCCAAAGAAACCAGAAACCACCTCCATTTTTGTTTTTGTTTTTATCACCAAAAGCAAAAGGTGGTAATGGCATGTTATTATTGGATCACCTGAATCCCAAATCAGTGAATGGATTGATTCATAATTCGTGTATTATATTTATAGAATTGGCAATTTGCTGGGTTTGCACCATGCCTCTCACCCAACCAACCCTTGAATTTCCGGTCTTATCTATTGATTTCAGGGGCCCAAATTCTCAAAAGGAAACATTAGCTATAAGTAAAGGTCTAGTTAGGTTGACCATAGCCACTAATGGCACAAAACAATCATCAAATTAATGGGACAATTAGGCGGGTGTAGTAGGCTTTGTGAAAATTGGGACAAGTTTGACCATTGTTAATCCTAATGGGTGAATGACCCAGTTCAGAGCACACACTTCATGTTGTAAGACAATAATATAAGCAAGGATTCTAAATATTTTTGAATTTTAGCAAGCCACAAGTAGAAGAAAAAAAATCAAATAATGAACAATCATAAAAAACACGAGACTTATCCGATTCAACAAATGTTTTAATGCAAGTTTTTTATAGGCGTTTTAGTGCAGCTTTTGTTGAGTTGTTCTGAATACACTATACAACTTAGTCTTTCATATGTGTTTAGAGTCTAGACTGAATCATAATTGATTTCATCGCAAGAATTCGTTGCACGGAATTTACAACGAAAGTTAATTAATACTCATTTTCTAGCGGGCACTCTTCTTATTTTAAGTCATCTCTATCTAAATATCTGGAAAACTTAATTAGCTTTTTATCAACATTCCGAAAGTAAAACTCAGATGATTCATCTATTATTGGTTTTTTTTTTTGACAAAAGATAATCTTATATTGATATAAAAAAAGATAGTTACACCCTGGAGAGCAGCCAGGCCTGAAAATTAAAAACACGACTCATAGTCGGGTACAAGGAGAGGGCTTTTCTAGCCACTACATGGGCTACCCTATTGTGACGCCGACCTACGAAACGAATACTGAACCCAGGGTTGCTGCCAAAAAGATTCAACACTTCCTCCAATACAGCACCCATCCTGCTATCCCGCGAATCCCCACGGCTGATTTTGTCAATGATCACTTTAGCATCCCCTTCAAACCGAACCGATGCAAAGCCTTGCTCCAAACACCAAAAAATCGCCGCACGCAGCGCCAACAGCTCCACAACCGCTGGATTATCCATGACAGGGAAAGAGACCCCATTAGCCCTGAGGACGACTTCAGAGGGAGTCAAAAGAAACATTCCCCCCGCCGAATGCGAACCCCTCCTAGTGGCCCCATCCCATCTACAGACAAACTCGAAGGCGCCAACTGACCTAGGTCCTTGATCCCCTATCACCAGAAATGGGGAGTCTTCCTCCACTGGAAGGCGCTCCCATTCCTCAACTTGTTGCGAAAATTATAGGAAAGAGTATAGGAAAGAGTGGTTTAATTATATATTTTTTTGGTAGAAAGATCGACGTCATTGCGTCTAGTTCATATTAAGAGTTAAATGATCATGAGAATTCTCACAATATCATGGCAAAGCCTAGGGGTGGGCATTGGGTGGGTCGGGTGGATTTTGACCATAAAATGCACCCATCCACTCTTAAACGGGTTGACAATTTTTAACCCACCACCCTCCCACATTTAGTCTCGGGTTGGGCCGGATGGATGGCAACCGCAGATGATGCAGGTGGGTGTACGGGTTCATCCACATCACAATGTACATAATATAAAGGAGTCAACTTGACATGATCCA